AACCATGAGCTTAACGCACAGTGGGGCTTCGAACACGGACAAGTGAAAGAGGACAACGGGATACCCATTTTTGGTTTTTCACGAGCTTGACTTTGTAGCAAACGTAAAACGAGTGGTGGGAAGGGGAGGTGCCGTATAAAGTTTTTCCACGTTGCACCCCACCTACTTTTCGGTTAAGTTAACCATATCAGACAGACTCATCCACCTTCGCTCAGCTGAAATTTATCTCTTCAGAATTATCCTTAAAAACACAAACACACACTCTCGTTTTTTATAACGTTTGTGAGTGTGAGTTTGTGTGATGATGAGCTTAACAGACTAGCACTGAGGTAGTCAGACATGCAGTTAGCTGCAATGGTTGCTTTTTCGAATGCAATTTTAATAATTGCCGTTGAGTGTATTTGCAACATTGTGTGCATATTTATACAAGGATGTTTGAAGATACAAGCATGTCGGTTAATGCGATTGAATATCAGGCATATGAGAACCTGGCAAAGCCAAAGCAAAATAAGACAAATAGTTTGGAGAACCAGCAAATGAGTCACAGTTGAGTCTTTCCAAAGAGGAAAGCCAACATAGAGGGCCATACAAGTGTGATACACAGCTTTGGCAGCAATTATTTGTGATATGTAAATTCTTTGCAGAAAATTGGTACTACAGGCTTAGAAAATAGCGATCCAACCAGTACTTATTGGAAAAAAGCCGGCAACGTTGTTACAATGAATGGACGTGGCGTGATAACACACTTTTTATGGCTTGAATTAGATAACATGGACTTGGACAACATGTGGTTTCAGCAATACGGTACCACTTGCCACGTTGGCTTCACGCGCACCAACCGCATATCGGACGTCAACTGAATCAGTTGTGCTGGTGACAAGTAGGGATGCAAACGATGCATCGATGTTTCTGAAACATCGATAACATCGGCCAAAAAACCGATGTTTACCATCGATATTTGAAAATTACTCAACATCGTAAAATTGGCGATATATCGATGTCAATTTTAACGATGTTTTAAACATCGACTTTAGTTTCGGTTCAAAATTGCCATTGCGTTCACATCTTTATGTTATATTCTTTGGGCTCTGTCACACGGTCACTATTTATTGACGTGATCCAAGTATCGCGATATTTATTGACGGTGTAGTATGCAGTATTGATGGATCGTGATCCATATCGCAAAATTTCTAAAAATTTTGAAATTTGGATCGCGGATCGCAAAACCGTCAATAAATATTGAACGTGTAGCACTTTCAAAACGCGATCCATACATTTCTTTAGTACATCTTTTACTCTCATAATGTAAACATCGGCTCTGCCTTCACTCTCGGGGCTTAAAATCTTTCAAAACAAATTGAACAAATCTTAAAATAATTGTCATAAATAATAAATGCATTACCTGTAAATTATACGTACAAAATAAAAATATTTTCTTGCGTCATAATAAGCGTTCAGCAAAAAAAAATATGGAAATACTGACGCGCTAAATATTGAACATGTAGCATTCGTGCGCGATCCATCAATCCATCAATATGGATCGGGATCCAAATATCGTGATAATTACTGACCGTGGGACAGAGCCCTTTGGGTAAGCGTAATACGGGTGATGGCAGCCCTGCACTTAATAAAAGCAATTGGCAACGTTGAACATAGGCGATTTCCATGACGTAGTTACAGTATTTCAACACGACTTAAGGTGAGTGTAAGTATTATCTGCTCGTAAACAGCAAATCTATTATGACATTGGAAGGAAATCTGATTAAATTCAAGAAACCACCCATTGAAATGTTAACAGTGTAGCAGTTTAGATGGACACTAGGTTTTTCTTACAATTTTAACAAGCATTAAGTCAGTTCCAGGTATTTCAGGATTTGCAGGTTTTACAGGTAAAGCGGTTTTCGCCATTAATAAACCTTATGGAAGGTGGCGTACGTTAACAGCTTCCTGTAAAAACCTGCAAATCTTGAAGTACCTGTAACATACTTATTAAAAGAGAGAAACATCGGAAAATAGCGATGTATCGATAGTTTTGGGGCGATTTTTTTCGGCATCGATGTTAGTGTTTACGATACATCGAAATATCGATGTATCGATGTTGGCTCTGAAAATTTGCATCCCTAGTGACAAGTGGCACAACACCCTATCCCAAGAAGGAAAAGCGTTGAGGGATATAATATTGGTTATATTACAAAATAGTTACCAGGACGCAGGCAACTTTGTGCATGACAAATATGGAACATCACCCTGAAGTAATTCGAAAACTCACCACAGTCTTTCGAGAGAGCAAAGTCTCTTGTAAGACAATTGCCAATTCTGGCAACTATCTTAAAAGCTTATTACTGTGTGTGCGAAAGACTAATTGAAAGAACTGAAATTTTTCACACATTATAGCAAAGGGGTAACGTTCATTCTTGCATACTTAACTCGCTTTTTGCTATTTTTGCATTATGAAACTTTTCTAGTAAATGAGCGATGCACATATATATGTTAAATATATCGTTATCTTAATTCACAGAGGCCCTAAACAACACTTTTTCGAAACTACGTTTTTCACAAATTTTGGTAGGGTATAAAAACACGCCTTAAATACAAATTGTAAAGTGCTATTACCAAAAACAGCGGAGTTACATGCCACTTTTTAAAAAGCCCTACCTCTTTTTAATAGTCTTTTTATAATATTTTGTGCTACTCCTGTAGAAGAAAATATTTATCAAAATTTTGTTTCAGTACTCGCAATTTCCTACTGGGTTGCTCATACGGAGCAGGGCCCTTACTTGCTGTATCCGTTAAGGCCCCGCCAGATAGAAGTTCTTTTCTGCGTCACAGGGATGCTTTTGACTGACAAGACGCACATAACATTGCGAGGCGCCACAATGAAAACGTTGCCGCAAACAAAACGGCTCATTTTGATTGGTCAAAAGTCAGTTGCTCTGCATTCGTTGCATACATTGTTGTTTTGCCGCATTTACGCACGTCAAAAGTTGAGAGTTGGGCGATTTTTATCAGTTGCGGCAATGCATGCGTTGCCAATGTGGCGTCTTCTATTCAAAATCCCAGAGTTAACTTCGATGTCAGTCAAAAGTATCCCTGTGACGCAGAAAATAATTTCTATCTGGCGGGGCCTTTAGCGATTGTTCATCTGCTGCGATAGATCTCCTGTGATGAATTGCTTGTGGAGACCGCTCATCGTAATCGCAGGAGATATCGCTTGAACTGTCAAATAGTTAGTTTCACAGCTTGTTTTAATTTTTAATAAAGTAGTGTTTTTCTATAAATTATATATTCAAAACAACGTGGAGTGAGCTATTTTTGCGAATATAGTTATTATCGTCATTTGGAAGGTACTCGTAAGCACTTCTTGAAAAGAAATCTTCTGCGATGAAATGCCCAAGTACAAAAATTTCTCTGAGATGAGCATTTCGCCTGCGATGAAACTGCCAGATCTCCTCCTGCGATGGCTGTACGCTAATGGAGACAGCAAGTTACTCTGTAGCTCGAATCAATAGTAAATTTGTTCGATTTCGAACGATTGGTGCTATAAAAGAGTTAGGCGTTCGAATAGAACTTATTTTCGATTCGAACTACAGAGTAAAGGCCCAGTTCTCTTGTTCTCATCAATACAGTTACAGTTTAGCTTTTGCCGACCACTGCCTAAGAGTTATTCTGTTTGTCTATTAGCAATTTTTTTTAATTAAAAAAAATATATATTGTTTTCTTTTTAAGAAGATAAAAATTAAAAAAAAAATATTAAAAGATACTATAAAACGGCTTCCAACCACTAAAGTTAATTTTAGAACTTTAGGTCCCGAAATATAAATAGCAACCCTCGTAGAT